CACCGCCCCTCGCTCCGCCCCGCCGCCCCTCGCTCCGCCCCGCCGCCCCTCGCTCCGCCCCGCCTCTGGCTCCGCCCCGCCTCCTCTGGCTCCGCCCGTGGCTCCCTGCCGCGGAGGTTCTTACTTTCTGTATCTGTCTCTCCCGGGAGTGCACCACCTTATCAAAAACCAAAAAACCTCTCTCTCTCTCTCTCTCTCTGTCTCTCTCTGTGTCAGGTTGGGGAGGAGGTTGGCTAACCTGACACTGGAAATACTCCCAGGGCCCCACCCCAGGCTAGTGGGTCACTGCAGGACAATGAACTTGGGCCTTTCCATCCTAGCCATCACTCTCTCTTCCAGTTCAGAAAAAGGTCACAAGAAATACAACAGAAATGTGTCCCCATAGCTATGATTAAGGTGACAATTGTTCACAGGTTTTGCCATCGAGATAGCCCCTCTAGGGGCCAGCCAGTGGTGTGGTAGTCATGTGTGCTGGACTCTCACATGGCCAGCCACGGTTGGAGTCCCAGACCTGGCGACTGAGAGGACAGTGGAGACGGACTGCTGCATGGCTGTCCCCCTGGGGGTGATCTCTCACTTCCCTCTATCTCTCCGGCAAGCGCATGTGCCCTGTTGCAGAAGCTCACAAAAGACGGCCCCTCTGAAGTGGGTGGTGGAAACGGTCACCGTGCCAGAGTAGGGACTGGCTCCCACCAGCGCCCATGCCCTGCGGTGGCCGGGTGCAGCCCGGAGTGGCCGCGGTCCCTGCAGCACTGGTCCGCGCCCTGGCGTTCAAGACCCGGGGTCCCTCCGGAGCTGCAGTTACAGTACTGGTTGCCGAAGTCGGGGCCCGTCTCTGGGTCTCTGTTCAGGGATGCGGCGTGACTTCCCTGATGACGCAAGACCTAAACCCACGTGATTTCGTAGAAGAGCTTTTTGCGTGAGCCCGTTGCAGTGCTTGGAAGGGACAGTCCTGGCTGTCATTAAGGGCCCCTTGGGTGTAATCTGTAAGGGCCTCCGTGTGCGCAGCGCGCTGTCCGAGCCTATGCAAGGACGAGCACACCGCTGAAGGCAGGCCGGCATCTTTTCAGGACTGGGGCAAGTGAGCAAGCTTGTCGGGGGCCATTGGCCACGACCTCTAGGGAGTGCCGAGGTACCGGCACGTCAGCCCGCAGCGGGGTCGGCCGTCACTGGAGGTGGCCCGTAGCCGTCCGGTGCCCCTCTGGCTCCCAGTTAGTGTGGGGCTACCGGGTGCAGGCTGGCAAGCCAGTCAGGCGCCTGGAAGACAGTGCCTTACCGACGTTCTCGGGGCATCCGGCCCACTTGTGTCCTTACGGCCACAGTGGCTCCTGGTGGAGGGGTGACCTGGCTCAGTCTGGCGAGAGGAGGGAGCTGGAAACTGCCGCACACCTGAGGACACCCTCTTCACTCTGCATTACCAGGTGGGGAGCCTCCCTGACTCGGGTTTAATGATGGGGCGCTAGGAGAACTGCGCCTGCCGAGGGAAGGGCGGCGCCCTGAACCCCGCCTGGTTCAGAAGTTACGGCTGCACCCAGAGACCCAACCCGGCTGTCCAGGGTGTCTGTGAGGGCCTGCAGATGTCGCCTCTCTCCGCCAGGGAGGCACCCCCGAGACAAACGAAGCAGCGGCCACAGGCAGCAGGGCCGCCAGGCAGGCCTGAATCGCACTGTGCTCTCTACTGTGCTCTCTACGGGAGGGCCGTCGCTCCGGCCACTGGAGCCAGCAGGTGGTAGCACAGGCAGGGGAGAGTACGCACATCGCTGGGGCCTGAGTTTTCTTGTCTTTGTGGAAGAGTAATCCCAGGTCATAAGGGCTTCCTGGTGCAGGGAGGGCAGCGTTGGGCTGTCTCAGCGTCTCCTGCGGTAGCTGGGTTTCCCTGGAAGGACGGCTCCGAGACTTGGTCCCCTGCAACTGAGCAGGGGGTGGGTGTCTGCAACGCCTCGTGGTCCGGTGCAGCGAGGCGGGACCATGGGGCCACTTTCCCCACACCCAGGCCCACCCCCGTTGGGAGTTGTCTCCTGCCTCTCCCTGGCGAGCACGAGCTCTCTGGCCAGTGGAAGGAAGACAGAAGGGGAGAGGCTGGACCGAGTTGCAGCTCTCCTGCTCCCTTAAGCCTCATGCAGGGCTTTGGTGGCCAGGCCAGAACTGGGCCCCCCACATGGAGCAGCGGCTGGCTCTACCCTGGACGGCAGCCACGTCCCCGGTCGGCGAGGCTGCTCCGCCCGTCTAGGGAAGTTACCTGCGTCAGCCTTCCCTTTCCTCCTGTGTCCTTACTTGGTCTCTGCCACTGAGAACGGTGGCGCTGGGGGCGGCCGTGCTCAAAGCGCCACCTGGCTTTTGCCGCTCCTTCCCAGGATCTGGGCCGTTAGTTTGAGTTTTCGAAGGCCTGATCAGATCAGTGTATCTGCGGTATGCCTCTCAGCCCTTCCTCAAATTCTGAGCTCTCCCAGAGCTGTCTAGTCGCTGGACTTGGTTTAAGCGCCTTTGCTGGGGAGCCCCGCTCCCCGTCTTCCCGGAAGCCATGAGCACACTGGAGCCCCGCCTGGCTGCCGCCCTGCTTCAGGGCTCACTGCCGGCCTGGCCCGGGCTGCCGCGGCCTCCAGCTCACTGCTAGGTCAGCCACATGATGTGGCTGGGGTCGTCTCGG